CAAAGCAGGTACTGCTCTGCACAGGATGCAGTTAATTTTTGTAGCTACTTGTGGTAGGAAGCTGTGAATGTCAAAACTTTGGAGAAGCTCAAAAAAACTGTTAGACAAATGGTGAGAAAAAAATTGGCTTGGGAGATTTAAAATTCATGTGCTTCCATACCCCAGGATGGCTGAGTAAAAGATCTTAGAAGTTAGAAGAACATGCTGGGGAAATATCTTTGCTTCTTTTGCTCTCCTGTTCTTCCCAAAGTATCTGCTGTGGGCTGGATTTGGGGGCAGGACACTGAACCTCCTTGTCCTTTAGGCTGGTGCAGTTTGGTGTTTCCTGAAGCAAGCCAGGAATTCCCAGGTGCATTTGTGCTCAGGGCTGGTGCCACTCTGTGAGCACAGAGTGCTGCCTGGTTTGGGGAGAGAACCAGACTAAAACTCATGTAAATGTTAATGGAATCCTTCATGCACAAGGTATGAGCTTAAAATTTGTCTGTTGTCTTGTATAATACTGAGAATAGAAAAAAATATTCCAAGGTTGCTGGACCATAGGGATGTGTGGGATTTTTCCTTTGGATTCCTTCAGACTTGAACTTGGAAACAACCATCCCTGTTACTGGGACCTTCAAAACACTTGGAGGCATAACAGTGTGGAGCACCTGCATTTTTATCTTCACTAGCTAGGATAACAAGCCTGAATTTATCCTTTTTTTGAGAGAAAGAGCCATCAGTTCTTCTGGAATAAAAACCCTGAGTTATTTAACTTCTTTTTAGCATGGGTTGTGCTGGCACGAGGAGTATTCCAGAGAGACTACTTAACAGGCAATAAAAACATGTAGTGATGAGTATTTTAAGCAGTAAAAGGCAGTGCCAGCAGTCAAATGAGTTGCTTTAGTACAAACCCAGAGAGCAACTGGAATATATATATATTTTTTTCTGTGTTTTCATTGAAAGCTAAGATAGGAAAATATGATAAGAACTGTTGGCTGTGTGCTTGTGGTAAAGTGAAGCCCATTTAGTGTTAGCTGTTAGATTTCTTCATTTCTTGCTCCCTGTGTAGTGGTTTGGGTTTTAAAAATTTTAATCTACTGCATGGATCTGTGTTTAAGAAAGGTGATATCTTTATAGGATGTCTTTTTTTGTATATTCAGAGGAAAATTAAAATATAGAACCTGACATCAGCCTCAATTTCTGATGGACGTGCTGCATACAGATTGCTGTATAAAAAGCTGATTTAATTTTGTACAGAAAATTGGAATTAGTTTATTACAGAGAGGGGCTGCTTGTGTGTTTTGTTCTGAAGCTGGGAATAAGCTGGAAGATGTGCACAGGGACCCCCATGTTGTACACTACCTGCAGAGTGCTGGGGCCCAGATATTTGTGTGGTGTGAGCAGCAAGAAGAAAACAGCAGTGTGAAAAGGACTTGATGTGATTAAATTGGGTGTTTTTTCTTGGAGAGAAGAGTGTCCTTGCCCTGTGTATCCCAGAAAAAAGGCTAATTCCCTGGGAAATGTTCAGCAGCCTTTCAGTTTGGTGGGTGCTCTGTCCACAGATCAGTCTTTCTGTGGGACAGATTTTCAAAATCCTGCTGTGGGACCAAAATTCTTGAAAATTCTCCCTGCTCTGTAAAAACAGGTGCCTCTTGTTTTCTGTACATTCTTTCAAGGAGTGTTAAGAGCTTGAAAACAGATTGTGCTGCAGAAATTAAACTTTTATTCTGCTAAAGTTAAAAAAAAAAGTGGCAAATTAAGATGTCTGCAGTGTCTAACACCTTATTTTTTACACCTTTAGCATGGAGCTGCAGAGTTAGCATGTGGTTTTAAGACTGCCATCTGGTTTTAACTGTGTGTGCCTAGAAGTAATCCTTTGATCAGTCTCTCATAACCCTTTTTCTCTCTGTGCATAGCCCTTGACTGCAGATAGGCCAGCAGAGAGGTGATTAATTGCACTCTTTGAGACTGTTTCCCATGCAGCTGAAAGAAGTGTGATTGATCTGCAACCCCTTAGTCTGAATAAATGCCCTGTCTGATGAAATTATACAGCAAGTCAGTGATTTTAACAGCATGAGAGTCCTTCAATCCTTGTCCACTCATGCTGAATGTATGTCTGCCTTATTACCTGGAAGGATAAATTACATACAGATTAGGTGTGAGCACATAATAATACTGCTGTTGAGTCAGCCAGGGCACATGTCACAGCATTTATCTTGGCTTTAGAAAGAAAATATCTGATCTGGCATGAAATCTGCTGTAGGAAGTTATCACTTCTGAAAACTGGGGGGAAAAGAGATATCAATAGATTGTACCAGTTCATGGTTCTCTTGTCGTGCATTTGTTGCACTTTCTATCCAGTGTTAGGGCTTTATGGAACCTGGGCTGATGTTTAGTTTGAGCAGCTGGAGGACATCTGGATTTTCTAGCTACCCTGCAGCCCTTCCTGGGGTGCTGTGAGACCTAAAGAAAGTGCTCTGTACCAGTACCAAGATGTTTCCTGGGTATTTTTTGAAGAACAGGTACATGCAAGGTTACTGTTCAATCCCTTTGAGCTTTAGGAAGTTTGCAGGGTGCTGTTTATCAGCAAGTTCCTGAAACAGGCTCTTCTCCCTCTCAGTGCACTGAAACTTGGCATAAGTTTATTCTTTGCAAGAGAAAAATCCCTCTTCTGCTGCTTGAGAGAGAAGATGCCAGAGGTGTGGCTCAGTGCCTCTCTCACTGGCTGTGTCTCACACCATTTTTCTGTGTGGGCACAGATGTTTTCAGTAGCTGTGGGCTCCCTGAGCCAGAGTAAACTTGGCTGTGCTGGTAAACAACACTGCTGCACATTGTTTCATGTAGATTTTTCCTGGTGTGTGTGAGGGGATGAAGAGAAGAGACAGAATTTTTGTGTTGGAATCCTTCTTTAGTTCTTGGCATTGGAACAGTAAATGGTTTGGCCTTTAGCAAGTCCCTGTTTTGCTAGACACTGAGACTGCTGTAGGCCTTTGAGGTGATGTTCTCTCACTGGCTGCTGCATCCTTAGGAGAAAGAAAGGGGTTTGTAGGAAGTAGTAGCTTCTTTCAGGCTGCTTTCAGCTGTTTCCTTTTGGAAAATATCAGCCATTTCCAGATCCCTTGAACATCTCAGTTAGCTGTAAATAGATGTGAGATTGTCTTTGGTCCCTCAGGTCTGTATTCCATCTCTTGATGTGCCACGGTGCTCTGTTTGAATAGCTTCTGTATAGGGGGGAGATTGCTCCACTCTCACATTTATCCTGTTCAGTCTTTACAAAAAGCCATCACAGAAAAGGTTCTGGTGGCTGATGGGTGGGGGAAACAACCTGTCATCTGCAAATCTGCCAAACATTGCCCTCTGCCCTGCAGACTGGCTGAGCTGCCCTCCTGCAAGGACAGGCAGACACAGCTAGAGCTGGTGCCATGCACTGGAGGAGACAAGGCAGAGAAGCTCCTTGTTCCTCTGGGGCTGAGAAGCTTGAAGTGCCTCCCTGAGGCTGGGTGTACTGGGCTGGACTGGGAGCTCCTCTGTGGGGCAGGGCAGTGGCAGCCACCAACACAGGCCACCTTGTAAAGTCCTGGCAGGCTGGGAGTTCAGATTTATGGGTGTTCCTCAGCAGCAGCGTGGTGTTCAAAGCAAACCCTCAACCTTCTGATGCCACAGAGTGAAAGTTCTTTGTCATCTTCAAGCTCACCTGGTCTTTTATGGAGCACCAGGGTGACTCTGCTGAGCACTGGACACGTTCTCCTGGCATTGCTGCCTCCAGAAAAAACAGAAGTGCTGACCTGTGGTGAGGTCTGGGGCACATCTGGGAGGCACATCTGGGAGGCTGAGGAGCCCCAGTGCAGCACGGTGGCAGCAGCAGGGTGTTGAGGCTGCTCATGGAAGCACCAGCTGTTGGGGCAGCTGTGGCAGATGCCAAAACCTCTGTAGGTGAAGGAATTTCACCTGTAGGTGAGCCAGGATCACTGGGGCAGCTTTTCTTCCTTGGATGTGTGGGGTTAAGCTGGGCTGCTTGCTCCTGGCCCTGCACTCACCTCTGCTCTCTGCAGCCATGGGGGGGAATGGGCTGGGGAGCTGGATGGTCGTTCCAGCCACCAAACACAAACCCAGCACAGGGAAAACACACAAGTGTTTAGAAGCTAAACCACTGACCAGCTGCACAAAGACTTCTCCCAGTACAGTGGAAAAGTGGGAATGAGTGATGGGAGGCAGCTCTGCTGTTGGAGGAGTGGACATCTGGTGGCTGTGGGGCTGTGGTTTGCTGCTCAGTGATGTGAGAGGTTCCCAAAATCTGAACAGCACCTTTTGTCTCTGAGTTGTAGTTGCCTAACTTCTCATCATCCTGATTGTTTGTGTTGGATTTTTCCCAGAGAGGTGATAATTTCATATGAATAATTGAAGGTATAGTTTTACCTGATTAAATTATTTGGACTCTCTAATTTAAGAATCATAGAATCATAGAATGTCTGGGCTGGGAGGGACCTCCAAAGCTCATCTAGTCCAACCCCCCCACCATGAGCAGGGACATCTCTAACAAGATCAAGCTACTCAAAGCTTCATCCACCCTGATCTTGATCTCCTTAAAAGATACCTCCTGAAAGACTGAGAGCAGCCCTATAGAGAAGGACGTGGGGGCACTGGTGGATGAGGAGCTGGACATGAGCTGGCAGTGTCTGTTCACAGCTCAGAAAGCCAACCATAAACCTGGGCTGCATCCAGAGCAGCGTGGGCAGAGATGGAGAGAGGGGATCCTGCCCCTCTGCTCTGCCCTGTGAGACCTCCCCTGGAGTCTGTGTCCAGCTCTGAGCCCCCAGCACAAGGAGGACGTGGAGCTGTTGGAGCAGGCCCAGGAGAGGGCCACAAAAATGATCCATTTTGTGATCCTCTGTTGTGTGCTGTGTTTAGTTCATTCTGTATTCTGACATCATCAGGGTCAAGGCATTTAAAGGATACAGACATGCACAATTTATATAGGATTTTAATGTCTGCTTTTCTTGAAATCTGTCTCCTTTTCTTAGGTCCCCAAATACTTGTCACAACAGTGGAGTAAAGCTTCAGGAAGAGGTGAAGTGGGAAAACTGAGGATTGCCAAGTAAGCCTTTACTGTCCCTGTGTTGGTTATAATCCTTAGAAATTACCTGCAGCAAAATTTTGGTTTTTTATTAAAAAAAACCCCACTACATGATAGTGTTTCTTGCAAACACTGTGCATATTTCTCTGATGCTAGAACAGTCCTTGATTGTGTGGTAATTATGAATATAAATGATATGAAATTACACTGGGGAGTGGCTGTATCCCATTATGTGATGGTTGACTTGTGAAACCCCAGAAATATGCACATCTAGCTGGATCATATTCTTGGACTTACATCTTCTGTTTTGCTGCTTCTGTTCTCACCTGCTGACTTTTCCCATTTAGTCTTGGGCATCAGCATAGCAAAACAAACTTGAGCCCTTCAGAAGGGACAATGAGTAACAAAAACTAGAACTTGAATTTGCTTTTTTTTTTATCAGGGGAAACTAAACTTGTGGAATTAGATTGTGGAAACTAAAACATGAAATATTTTCTTTTGCAGAAATCAAGGAAGAACAGAAGTAAGTAATTCCCAAATACAAAGGCTTTGGATGTGTTATACTTTGAATTCTAAAAGTTGGTTTAGAACATGCTCTTTTTGAATGTCATATATTTTTTATTTTGAGCCATTATACCACAGAGTCAGAGGGAGAGAATTCTGTTTGTAGCTCTGCCCATAGATTTCTTGTAGGGCTTTCAGCAGATCTCTTTGTTCCCTAAATTTATTTACCCATCAGTAAGCAGCAGTCGTGGTAGTGACCTCTCTAAACTTTTTGAGATGTGTTCCTGCAAAAGACTGGGAATTAAGGAGGATAATGATAAAGCAAAGGAGGCTGGAGATGGAGGGTTGCAAATTCAGGAATTATTCTCTGTCTTATATTTTGACTTTGGTCCTACTAAGTATAAAACCACTTGAAGGTTTTTCTGTGGCAAAGGTGCTTTTATTAGCAGCCTCAAGTGAATGATAGTAATTTCCTGTAGCTTTTACAGGAAAAGTAAAAAAAAGGAAGGTTCCATGAGATAGAAATACTTAAAATGCCACCTAAGTCTGTCCCTGAATTAGAAGAAACAGTGGACAAAAAGAAATGGGAAGGAAACAAGTTGCTCTTGGCATTTGATAAGGTGGCCCAACTCGTTTTAGAATAAGCAGGATGAGTTCTGCTGGAGGTTTGGATCTGTGGTTGGACTCTTCTAGGCTGCAGTACAACCCAACCTCCCTAATTTTGTGAGCCTCACACCAAGATCTTTCTACTGATGAGAGCCACAAACCTCTTTTTGCAGTCCCTTTGGAGCTGAGCTGCCTGAAATCCCCCTCTTCAGGTTTCCTGCTGTGTCCTGTGGCTGGGGATTCTGGTTCCCCAGTCCCCCCAGTACCTCCTCAGCTCCTGTGTGGGGCAGAGCATGTAGACCTAGCAAAGGAGCAGTGTCTGAACCTCTCCTGAGCTGCAATTCAGGAGTCCCAGGGCTATTAACACTTTGTTTGGTACATTAGCACTTTTTCTGCTGCTCAGCTGGCTGTGTGGAACATTTTAAAGTACTCCTGCTGAGCACTGTCTGAAAACCTGTTATGCCATACATTTTAATAAGCAAATACAAATTGTTCTCTGACTTCAGGAGGAAGTAATTGAGGATTTTTGAACAGCTCACTAAATTTTATTAAGCAGATAAAACCTTTCAATTCTGCATTTCAAAGAGAATCAGCCTAATAAGGCTTTAAATTTAAAACATTTAAATCTTTAAAACCAAGATTTTCCCCCCATCTTTATGGTTTTGGAATGGAAATGTGAAGTGCTGCTTGTGTTTTCTCTCTTTCCCCATGCCTCCCAAGGGTGTGTAACTGTGTAGTAACCCTGTGGTAATTGTGGCTGTTAGGTGTCATTCACCCTCAACGAGGAGCTGGCCAGCATCAGTGATATTGGAGGAAAACCCACCTCAGTCAGTGCACCCAGGGAACATCCCTTCCTTTTGCAAAGTGTGGGAGGACAGACCTTAACAGTCTTCACAGAAAGTCCAGCAGGTGAGTCAGAAGGAAAGGGATTTGTTACCATTCCAGCGTGCATGATTGCAGCAGAGTGCTGTAAAGGCCAAGAGACTCAGCTATGGGCTGTTTGGCTGTGTTGTTCCCTGCATGCAGAACACTGTTGTGCTTTTTTGTCTCTTTTCTTAGGACTGAGCAGCTAATTTAAGTTCTCCACAGAGGGTTATGTACATTTCAGGTGTGGTTATGCTGAAGAGAACAGAGGGAGCGTGCAGTGCAGTACATTGTGTATTTCCCTTCAGGGTTTTCACTGGAAAAAATGTGTTCCTGTGTACTAATATTTTTTTTTTCCTCTTTGAATTGGTCTCTGCTATGCATAGAGTTTTATAAGAATGCTGATTCTTCCTCTGTCCATTTGAACAAATCCATTTTAGCAGGAAATACATCTGTTTACCACATTTTCTTCAGGTGCATAGAGATGGTTTTGGTGTGCTGAAGCTTAATAAAGTCATAATATCAAACATTGCAGCAGTAAGGGTATCATTTTCCTCCCTGCATTTCAGCTATTTGGCCCATCTTAAGTTCTGCTCACTAGCTCTGTGAGTGATGAGGGTAGTTCAAGTTCAGATGTCCCAAACTGCATGTTAGACTTCAGTGAAATGATTTCATTTCATGCCTTGCATGTAACTCCTCTGTGCTCTGAGGTTTTCTACTGACATAACATGGTCATGTTCTGGATGTTGGAGAGGGACAGAAAGTGTCTGCAGAGCATATTCAGTTGTCTGCAGAAGGTATCTCATCTCAGTTTCAGGCAATTAGCTTTTGGTGTCTCCAGGAGACAAATAATAGTAATATTTTTTGATACCTCTTCCTTCTGTGGGGCTGAAGACCACACTGTGACCACCTTCTGATGTTATGGTGTTCATAGGCTGGCAAGCAGTTGCTGTGATGACAGTGTGATGCTTTATCAGATAAATGAGGGAGGGAGAATCAGAACTCACAGGATAGAGTTAGAAACTCTGTTAAATTTGACTGACTCCTTTTTAAAACCTACTTCAAAGATTTAATGGCTGTGCACTGAGATATTAAGCTACAAGTATCTTGGCTGTCTCAGTTGTGTTTGGAAATACAAGCTCTTGTGCTGCAACTCCAGCACTTTTAGTTTGCTAGCCCTTTCTCTGAAACTGATGTAACTGTGTCACTGGTTTTTCACTTAAAAATATATATATTTTCATGTTTGTGACTTGCAACACTTGAAAAATACTGGGGTTTATAATTCATAGATTATAAACGTGGAGAAAGATGGGGAGCAAGTTTTCAAGATACATTGCAAGCATCCTAATAGTGCTTCACCCTCTTTCATTTCTCTGTGCCTCAGCCTCAGAGTGCTTGCCAAAAGAGAGATTTCAGGTGTGAGGATGTGTTTACACCCTATGTTCAGTGGCTTTTGCATGGCTGCTGCAAATCCCACAGCACTTTGCTTCCCAAGACACATTTTGATGCACAGGACTGCTCCAGGAGCCTCTAATGGTGCCATAGCTGCAGTGAGTGCTCTTCCTTAACTTGGCTGTGGAGTATTTGTGGTTGGAATGAAAGTCATTAGAATATGACAGCTAGAAGGTGCCCAATTATTTCTGTTTTACCATCTGTAATACCAGTGTCTCAAAACCTTTAGGTACTTAGCAGCTGTCCAAGTGTTATTGAATCAATTAAAAACTGCATTTCTTATCAACTAGAAAAGGTGATTCAGGGACTGTGGATCTATTGAGTAGAAGTTATTGCATTAATCAGAAGCAAAGGGTAGTTAGTGAGATGACAAATGTTTGGAATGAAGCACTGAAGACTCACAGACCCCATCAAAACTGTTTTTCCTTCAGAGTAGGAAGCATGACGTGCAGTCAGTGAGTTTTCATGGAACTCCCTTCAATGCTAAAATGTGTTGCTGTTGTATTAATGCTGGTGTTGGCAGGACAGTCAAAAAGAAACAGAAATGGGCTTTCCTGGCATGACTTTTTTTGGTTGTAAATGTGATGCAAATGTTGCAAATTCCAGTCAGATTTCTTGGAACCACCGTGTCCCCATGTGTATTGCTGCTGGGTTTTGAGCTTCACATCCAATTTCAACAAATTTTGTAATGAATGATGTGAAAACAAGTGTCTGAAGAGGAGAACAAAACTAGATGGCTGTCCTGAGGCCCCAATGTGCCATGGCAGCCCAGAGGCCAATCCCATCCTGGGCTGCATCCAGAGCAGCGTGGGCAGAGATGGAGAGAGGGGATCCTGCCCCTCTGCTCTGCCCTG